ATTTAGATTTGAATTGCGGAAATGTTTTTTCTTTAATATTAACAATATGCTGAAAGTTTTTCCACAAAATTAGTCCCCGGTACTGAATAGAATAAGAACATAAGTTTAGATTATATTTTTGAGTTACAAAGTTTTTTTCTGAGAACTTGGTGGGGTATTTATGGCTTACTTCTCTAAAATAAGGATAGAATATCGCTGGAGACAGTCCATGTTTTATTTGATACATGAACTGTATAACGAGGAATATGTTGATTTTAAATACATTTAATGCATTGAGTTTACGTAGAAGTGGCTTACAAGGCACAGTTCTTTTTACTCCAAATACAATTCTACATGCATGTTTTTGTTTAGTATAAACTTTCTTTAACTTAGCGTAGCTGGTGCTTGCCCATACGATATTGCTGTAAGTTAGATAGTTATGTATAAAGGAAAAATAAAAACTTTTTAAAAATCTTATATCCAAAAATGGTTTTGCTTTATACATCATTGCAATGTTTATTAAAAGTTTTCTTTCAAGAGTGCTTATATGTTTCTTCCATGTTAAATTTTCGTCTAAAATAATACCTAAAAAGTTTACAGTTGTTTGCCTAGTAATACTTATATTATTGATTTTAAGATTGGGTACTTTTAAAGGAAGGTTTCCTGTTTTGGTTGGTTTGTGAAATAGAGTAAACTTAGTTTTGTTAACGTTAAGTGAAAGTTTATTACAAATGAACCATTCGTTTACTTTGTTTACTTCTTCATTAACTACTTTAAAGAAGGTTTTAATATCCCTATGAGAATAAAACAGATTGGAGTCATCCGCAAACAAAATAAAGTTTAATTTGTTTGAGGTAAGAGATAGATCATTTATATAAAGAGAATAAAGCGAGTTGTTCAAAAAATAAGGTTCTCCGTGAATTTATCAAAATTTATAAAATAGAATGAATTAGAACTAGTCGACTAACCAAAGATTTGGGCCAAACTTATTTACACCAACTACACTATGAGCAACTTAATAGATTACAAAACTTTCGTATATTACGCATATAACAAAATTTTTTTCTTTTTTCAAAATATGAGTGATCTCAAATTCAAAAAAAGTTGTGCTCTTTTGCTAATTTAAAGAGCTTTTTATTTAAACAAAACCTAGCGGTAAAATTTGCGATATTTGAGACACGTTTTTTTTTGGGGGGGGGAGGGGAGCCTCCAATCTATTAGCCTCGGCACTGCTAAAACCTGTTTTTTGTCGACTCAAAAAAAAGGTTGCCTGAAATACGCTTTACTTAGGGCCAGTATATAAGGGGTGACATGTGTGCATGGGCACCCGCAGCATTTTTTGATGTTCTAGATAGGACACTTTTACACATTTGGCATAGGTATACTTAAGTTTGGATCTTGTACATCTCTGCACATAAGTATACCTATGCCAAATGTGTAAAATTTGTGCAAGCTCTAAAATTTAAGTTAAACTATGCCAAATGAGAAAGCCTTGCAAAAAATTGGGATGGCGGAGGCCTGGGAGCAAAAAAAAGCCCTAAAACGCTTTTCCCCCTGCCTAAACAGGGTATTAATGTAGTAAAATTTCAACTTTACCATCTAAAAAAAATTTAAATTTATCGACAGATTTTAAATTTCATAGAAAAATATTGTAAAAGAATGTTTTGATGGGAATGACCTCTAGCTTTTGCGACAACTATCTTACATTTCTTTACACTTATTGACGCTAAAATTCACCCGGCAGTTGTGCAACCAATTAAAGCGCTGTCGGTGTTCGCTTCCAGCTTTTCATAATCAGAGAAAAATTGATTAGCATTGATAACTCATGTGATGTTGCCATCATCGGCGTATAATTTGGTATGGTTATACTTAAGTCTTGTGTGCCATTCATTAAAAACAAAAATAACAGTGATGTGAGAATTGATCCTTGAAGGACACCACTTATCACCCATTCCCACTTGGACGTTTATTCTCTAATTATTACTTATTGTTGTCAATTAGCTAATGTTACCAGTGATCTAGTTTAATAGCTGGCCTCAAATGGTCATACTCATGAATCTTATGAAGAAGTTGTCAAGCGAAATTTTGATGAATACTTTGTCAAAGCCAATAAAAATTATATAAAAATTATATGTCCACCGTAAACTGCTTCATTTAAAATGTTACAAGGTTTGATGAAAACTTTTGTGATTTATAAATCCATGTTGAGACTTTGATCTCAGATTTTTCACAGTATTTCCATAAACTTATTTGTAATAGTTATCTCCGCCACCTTGCACGGTATAGGTGTGAGACACCAGCTTGTAGTTTTGAGTCTAGACTTTATTTCCTTTTTTGTGGGTAAGTGTGAAATTGGATTTGCGTTAAGATTTTAACTCTTCTTAAGTCGTTAAAGTTTATGAAGTTATTATTTTTTTTTTTTTAAACAACCTGATAAATCTTATTTTGTTTTGTTTGGATAAGGTTTAGTGTCTACTTCAATGTCATCAATATAAAATAAAAGCCATTTATTTTTTATTAGTTTCTTTTAACTGTAAAAAAGTTAAAGGGAACTAATAAAAAATAAATGGCTTAGTATGGATAAGTTATTTTAAATATAATTCTTTGGTAATATAAATAAAGCAAAGTTAGTTGCTACGCGCATCATTAAGTAAATTTATTTTATACCCCATCAATAAAATTTCTTCTAGCGCCCGAATTATTATGGTGCCAAGGGCACAGGTAAGGATTATTTAAAGTTACAGTAAATCTGTTTGACCAAACAACAAGGCACTTAAATAGCAGTTCTCAAGGATTTACGACCAACAGGTACTAAGACGTTATTTGCTTTAAGCTACTTTGAAAAGCTTAATCAAAGCCATGTCAACATGAGAAAGGTTGCCGAGAGATTGAATTTGCATGAATTCAAGTATTGGTTGGCTTCTAAGATAAAGTTAATCAATTTTTTAAGTAATCTAATTAGTTTCAGTTGTTTTTAAATGTTTTAAGATGATACTGCTAAATGATGAAGCTACTATTTCAAAATATAGTTTTTTCACTCAAAAATATTTTTAAAATAAATAAAATTATTAAATTAAAAAATGTTGGTTCATGTAGTAAAATATGTTTTGCATAGATTGACATTAAAAGAATGTTTTGATGTGAATGACCTCTCCCATGACAGTTTAATGAGTAGACATTTAAATCTTGCCAATCCAAGATAACTAGTGTTAAAAACAGGTTTGCAGTACATCAGCAAATATACTAAATATATGGAAAGAAGCAAAGGAATAGGTAAATTCAAATTTTAAAAATTGAAATGAAATGTCCAGACATGAAATTTAAAGTTCTTGCATAAAATAAAATGTCTAGACCTAAATCTTAAATTTCTGAACTACGAATCAAAAGTATTTATATTCTGCTAAAAAGAGTAAATAGCGAATATATATATATATATATATATATATATATATATATATATATATATATATATATATATATATATATATATATATGTGTGTGTGTGTGTATATATATATATATATATATATATATATATATATATATATATATATATATATATATATATATATATATATATATATATATATATATATATATATATATCTGTAGTATATTTAGTGGTTTTTTAAATAATCAAGGCATAAACTACACGTTTTGAAAATTTTAATTTTAGTAATCAATGATTTATATTTATATTATATCTATAAATCATATAATTTATATGACTTTGTTTTTCATATTAGATTTATAGTTGCATAGAAAAAACTTTAAAAAAATACTAAACTTCTGATAAATTGTAAAATGGTTTATTACATGTTAATATAAAGGCACCCCATGTTAATAAAGGCTTTTGTTTTGCGTCTTCATCTATAATTGTTTTTCGTAAATTTTTCATAAATTGGATTTAGATATGACATTTGTATTATCTAATCTTTCAAAAATGTTTTAAATCAAGATCATTCATTATGTAAAGGAAGCCGTTTTCTTTTATTTGTTTTCCAAATGAAATATTCAAAGCAATAAAATGGTATCCCTGGCATTAAGGCGCATTATTTATAACTTTAAATAAAATAATATAAATACCTGTTTTAATAATGTTTGCTACTAAGTGAAAAGGAAAACTTCTTAAGATCATACTTGTTAAAATATTGCAACACTGTTAAACTTCCATCACCAAGTTCTTTTTCATTTTTTTTATAATATAACGTGCGTCAATTATTATATTTGGCGATGCGCAACCATAGTATTTATATAAAATTATAGACTATTTATATAAACATTGCTCACACATTTACGTGCCTCTATTCAATAAAGGCACACTTCTGGATGATTTTGAAATTAAATAAGTTTTAATTAAACGACTCTAATCGTACGTGCGCGTATATTTAATTAAATGCCATCTAATCGTATGTGAGTTTATGTTTAACTTTGAATTTTCATTGAAGTTACCGGAGATGAGCGAACCTATTTTTTTTTTTAATCAAAAAAGAGTTTATTAAAATGCATCATGACTTAAAGCAAATTGAAAATGGTTTCCCATTATTTGTAATATATTTATTTTTTATATAATTTTTGGCATATGTGTTTGCAAAAATGAAATAACACCCAGGAATTAAAGAATGTAAAAAAAAATTAAATGAAAATAGATCTGATATATATTCTTAATTAAGTTGAATGAGATGGTAGTAACCTTAGCAACAACCGCTATTCGAGGAAATTTCTATAGATAGACATTAGAAGCAAACGGCCAATACAAATGATAAAGTAACTAAATGCTTAGATAAAAAACTATCGTAACTTTGCTGTAGTGTTTATCGTCAAGTACTACTAAAATATATAAAATACTAAAATTAAAATAACTTATAATATTTCAGTCTTTGTGTTAATTTAATGTGCTTGTTAATTTAACGTTAATTTAATGTTCTATTTTCTTCAGGTTTTAGTGATGAGGTTTGAGTGATACAGTAGAAATTTTGGTTTTTGATGAAAAATTAAAATATAAAAATTAAAAAACTTACATTTTAATTTTTAAAAATGTCACAATTTTCCAATCAAGTTTACCTATCAATTATATCTTTTCATTTTCATGATATCAGGACTTTTAAGTTCTATGTTGTTTTTAAATTCAATTTTTTTTTTTCATTATTTAAGAAACATATATAAAGTATATAAAAATAGATATAAAAAATTTAACGGCTTCCGTGACTTTAGTAATAAAGAATAGTTTTTTTAATATTTCTGTGGCTATCGATGACAAGTCCTGTGTATAGTAAACTTCAAGTTTTTAGCTTTAATGTATTATTTATGAGCATTTTTAAATTTGAATTCAAAAGTATATTTTCCTAAATGAAATTACTAACTATAAATTAAAATTTAATAACTTTGAAGTAAGTATTTGAATAATAAATCTTTGTTAAAACTTTTAACACGTGAATCTAAGTCTTAGTGAGAAAAAAAACATTTCAACAGGATTCAATTTCATATTTATTTTATTTTGCATTATAAAAACATTTTTCGCAAAACAAAATCTTTCAATTAAATATTTATTTAAAAAATATTTTGAATTTTTGTCTTCAAATTGTCGTAAAAAATATTTTGAGTTTTTGTCTTAAAAGTGTCGTAAACGCATTACAAAATTCTTTGAACATTTTTAAGGTACTTCATTAAAATTATACTTCATAAATTATACTACATAAAACTACATCATTAAAATTGAATATTTAATTAACTGATTTCATTGAATAAGGATGCTATTTTGTGCATAGTCATCAAAAATAATTCAGAGTAAAGTTGAAAAAAATTAAAAATTTGTGAGACAAAAAGGATCGGATCTGTTTCCTTAAACACTCCACAACTAATAAAATTTTTTAACTGAAAATTTTTGGGTATATTATTAAAAGGATATATAACAATTTGAACCTTAAAACCAAAGTCGGATATTAGCTTTTCACTTAGTTATAATGCATTTTTGGCAACATTAACATTTTGTTGCCCCAAAATTGCTATAAATAAAGGTTCTAGTAGATATGAATGTTTGATTGAGGTTCTAATTGCTGTCATACTCGTTCTAACTTTCAGGAAAAATTAGAAAAAAAAAAACATCATAAAATTTAGGGAAACAATGAACACAAAAAATAAATTTTTCAATTTTTCAAAAATTGAAAATAAATATAAAAATAAAAATTATTCTATAACTGGTTATATTAGTCATCAGGCTCAAAATATTTGTTTTAGTAAATTAGTTCAAATTACAAAAAGTACTTCTAAAAAAGTACTTCTAATAAACAACCATAGTAACCCAAAATACTTAAAAAGTTCATGTTTTTGAGCTTAGATATGTATTTTTTTGGTTTCCTTGTAAAAACTTTTGGTAATATTTTTCTAAAATCAAAAAATCGAAACAAATTAACTTTTTTACTAAAGAACCTTAATGTAAATTTAAAATGTAAATTTAATAAGCGAAATAACATTTGTAGAAAATTGTATGTTTGATAATTTGACTTTTTTTGTTTCATAAGTCCCTCTATACTAATATTCCCAGAAATAGTATTGTAAAGTATAAGAATTTAATAATTTTTTCTTATTGATTTACTATTTTTTTAAATAACTTTTGGTTTCTTTTTTAAAAAATATTTCAATTTAACACGTGAATGAACGTATAAAAATTTATAATTTTCACCCTAACAGCTAGTGTGCTAATTATATAAGTTATTAAAGTTTTTCGTTTTATTTTGAAATAAAAGAATGAATGATAGAAAGTGCAAGGTACTTTAACTTAATAAAAAGCAAAAAAGGTTTTTGAATACTGGAACTGAAGGCAAAAGAGGTTTGTGAATACCTGAATTTGCAAATAGTTTAGTAATGTCTTACAGCTTTGACTGCTTAAATCGAATCTAAAACATGTAAAAAACATAGTATCAACGATGCATTGAAATAAGAGCTTACCTGTTATATAATAAAGGCTGCTTAAGCAAAACAAAAAGTATCCTGGTTTTAAAGTAAAAATAAAGAACTATTAGAGAAATTGGTTCTTGATGTAATAGTGTAATAGAATAAAATATTTGAAAAGAAATATGTGGTGTAGAGAAAATATTAACAAAAGTAGAAAAAAATGTTTACTTTGAACTTTGTTTTTTTGATGTAATTTTAAAAACTGAAAGAGTTAATTTTTGATTTTAGAACTGTCTTTATACCATACTTAAATAATAAATTTTTATTCCAGCGGTATAGACGCTATAGTTTTTCTATCCAGTTATAGACGTCCCTACAACATCTTATAGACGTTACAAGTCCGTAAGAAATCTTTAGGACGTCTAGTGGACGTTCTGTGCCCACTTGGATACTATGTTTTTAAAAAAGTTCTATAAAACTTGTACGTCAACGATTTTTTCAAATATTCTAGCATTGTCTCAAAGTACTGTCAAATATGCCACAGAAAAAACTTTTATTAATTAGTTAAGTAAATTTCGAAAATGCAAACTTAATAATAAAACACGGTCTTATGGACCTTGGTATTATACGCAATGACTAATGAATGCATCTTAACTACAGTGACGGATATAGAAATTTTTGGTGAGGAAGGGGGCGAAATGAGGAAATATTTTTGTATTTTTTATTTTTGTACTATCAGATTCTGGTTTACCCCATCCCCTTCCTTCCTCCTAGGATCCGTCACTGCTTTACTACCTAAATAAATATTAACAACACTGACATATTCTTTGAACACAAATCCTAAAATTTTCAGTCTGAAACTTTCAAATGAAAAAATATTGTTTCAAAAAACACCTCTTAAACCACAAAATGACGCAATTTTATGAAAAACCTAACTTACACCTCTAGTTTCATATGCTACCCATTGACTAAAATGCAGAATTTTCCTGACTAAAAAATTCAGTAAAATCAATAAATATTAATATATCCAATAAATATTCAGACATTAAAAACTATATCCCTATTTCATTACTTTCAATATAACAATTTATGAAAGATTTATCAACTTATTCTACCCGTATTAAATTGGTTTTCAGAAAAACCATTTAACTGAGGAATTATTGAATTTGTCAACTAAATAATTGATGGTTTTGAAAAAAACAATTTATTTTAGAAGTATTAATTGATTTATCAAAAACATTCAATTATTTCATTCTCTTAGATAAAGTGAAGCATTAAAATATAATTAATACAAGTTATAAAACTAAATACTAACTCTTAAAAAATCTAATAGAAATCCATTTTATTATAATAATGAATTGAAACAACTACGGATGCAAATTTAAAAAAGGAAGAATGTGAGCAATTAACTAATTGAAATAAAGAACTGGTTAGTAAATGTTTAGGTTAAATGCTAAAAAAACCCTCACTATTTTAAAAAAAGTTTTTGATTTCGATTTGACAGTTTTTAGAAAACTCACAGTTAAGAAAACGATTTTTTATAGTTCAATGAAAAAAAAAAATCACAATTAATAAAAATGGTTCTCAATTTATACCAAAGACAAAAAATTACTTAACTACATTTATAAGCTTAAATTTTGTTAACTTTTCCTTTTTTTTTGTACTTATCTACGTTTATAAGCTTAAATTTCATAAACTTTTCCTTTCTTTGGCAATCTTGAAATCCCGGGATTTGTACAAAATCCCGGGATTTCGAGATTGCCATCCTTAATTATAAATGTATATGTAATTTAATAACATTATTTTGTGCTTATTTATACTTTATCAAATTTTTAATAATTTTTTTTAAATTATTTTTTCACTAATTAATTATTTATTCGCGTATTTGCCGTTAAAATAAAATGTAAATTACTGAAAACTTAATTTTTTTTTATGTAAATCAAAGAAAATTTGTCCTTAGATAAAATTTTCAAAATACTGCTATAAATAAACTTTTTAAACTTTCATATGAACAGATTATTAACTCCAACATTCCTTTTATTTAGGGAATCTGGCATCTCCGATGACCAAACCTCCCGTTGCTTAATGGAAAAAACCCATTGTATTTTACCGGACATATCCGTTTAGTTACAGAAACATTTGCTTACTTGCTATATTGCGTAATTACGGTTTTACCGTAAATACGCAATATTTTTTTAACAGTGTAGTAATATGATTTTGCTTTCTAGTACACCTTAAATACTGGAAACCATTCAGATACTATCAACTACAACATTTTGTCGTCTGTTTAAAAAGAAGTTGACCAGCCAATCGGTGAGTTTTATTGCGTACAAACCATAAGTTGTTTAACTAATAGTTTATGATATACTGTATCAAGTGCTTTAGCTAATTGAAGTTAAAACGCTATTGCATAAAATCCTCTGTTTAAAGCGTAGGTGATTGCATCTATTGGTTGAAATTTGTTGTTACTGATTTGTCTTTATTAATCACATGTTGATTTTCATCAATTAGGTTATCTGAACTTGTTTATCATTAGTTTTTGCATAACTTTATTGATGTTCAATACAAAGTATCTTTCTAAAAAAAACAATTTATACAACATGTAATAATATATACAATCTTTACTATGATAAATAATAGTTTTTTTAATAATCTTAATTTTCCGTCAAGAAGCATTTTTAAAAAACCGTCTGATTCGCTGTTTAATTTTAGCTATATACTTCAGCAGCATGTACTTGTCCAATATATTGAAAATAAACTTAACCTATAATAGATTTTTAATTAAATTAAAAGTTTCATAAATTAAAGTTTTCCATATAAAATATAGCTAAAAATGGGACGACTAAATAAACGCCAATTTCGTAAGTGCGAAAGGCGTAAGTGCGAATTGGCATAAGTGCGAATTGGCATAATTGGGCCAGAAGATTTTGCAAACATTGGCATAAGTGCAAACTAGCATAAGTGCGAAGCAGTTGCAAAAACTGGCACAAGTGCGAACTGGCATAAGTGCGAATTGGCATAAGTGTGCCGAACAAATTAGCAAACATTTGCATAAGTGCGAACTGACATAAGTGCGAAGCAGTTACAAAAACTTACATAAGTGCGAACTAGCATAAGTGCGAATTGTCATAAGTGTGAACTAAATAAAATAAAAAACATTGGCATAAGTGCAAATTGGCATAAGTGTGAACTAGCATAAGTGCAAAGCAGTTGCAAAAACTGG